CATCATCTGAATTTGGGAAGATATGTTGTTGCCGAGCTGTCGTCGTGTCGACTGCCATCAGTCTTTCCACCGGTAGTGCTATTTTTGGCTGGCATTCCATCAAATGTGTCTGGCTGCGTCAACAGCACCTGTCACAGATGTTTCTTGCTGTCAGAACAGGTCTCAGTATGTTTTCTTCAACGTAGTTATGTTTTTCCACCTGCTATGTTTGTTTTTATTTTATTTCTGACTGTTTTATTTTATTTCCCAATGGATAATCCGCCTCCATTTCACCCTGTTGCACACTCCATTTCCCCCTGTTGCATGCTCTGATGCTAAACGTTCACATCTGCTCGACGCACACATAATCAATAGCTGGAAGACGCATCGCGCTGGCATTGAAGATCAACTTCGCGTCACGTGTTTTCACGCGATGTTCAACTTCTTTCCAACTATGTACCGATGCTCCTTTTCGTCTTCCTTACGCTCGACGACGGCTGTGTCCTGACATATGTATATACCTTCATAATTAGTATATACATATGTCCACCCAAGAAAACATCAAGAAAGTGAAAACAGACCCAAATGGTTAGCCTTTACAAGAAGAGGTACGAAATACGTAGAGGAACAAGATGCAAGCAGACAAGAAAAAGATACAAGTGATGTATGATGGCAAACAGGAGGTGGAGGCACCTTAGCGCGAGGCGCAAATAGAAATCGACGTGAAACAACCGCGTGAGCAGTGCACGATGGCAAACAGGAGGTAGGTGCACCTTAGCGCCTGCGCTTGCGCGAGGTGCCAATAGAAATCGACATGGATGGGGGAAGGACATGGGAGGCGTTGGTAGAAATCGGCATTGACGAGCTATACAGGAAAGTAGAATGAATAAATGAACAGTATTAGACGAGAAAACACGAACCTGGCACTTAACAGACCAGTGAGCACCCATCCCACATCCTGAACGGCCGCCATCCAACCTTCATCTGCAGTGGATAGAGTGGGAAGCGCTACACCCCACCAGACGAGAGTCACCATCACAGAAAAAAAAGCATTTCTACCATGTTTGTTTACTACTGACCAATCGGCACCGCTCACCAAGTTCGAACGATGCGAGGAGTTGAGAGGGCCAACTACATCTGATACAGCCCTCCATTCTGGCTGAAGCCCCTTCCACCACTTCCACCAACTCTTCTCAAAATCCAATACTTTCCATTCCTCCACTGATTCCTACCGGAATCCCTAGATTCCGGCCGGAATCCTGGAATTCCGGTAGGATTCCTGGAATTCCGCAGGATTCCGGCCGGAATTGACAGGAATCCAACTGGAATCAACAGAAATTGAACACTAGGACTTCTGGTTAATTAATTTTGGACCCTGAATCTCCTTCTTTAGGTCAGACAAATAGAATTGTAGCACTAAATCTTTTACTAAACAAGGGCATAAGGCATCCGACTAGTTACTTACTACTACATGGATTTATTTATTTCAATCAGATTCAGAGACATTAGATTCTGCATGTTGTTCATCCAAACCTAAGTCTATGTGACTTCATGCCTATCATATTTATTGTAAGTCTAATGTAGTCAGCCAATTTATTATTATATCTTGTCCTATAATAACCTCACAAATGTCTTCTTAGAACAGTTATATAGATTCAAATTCTAATATATTGAAGTGGTACACAAAGATTATTTTACTGTATTCTAAGTTAAAGGAAGGGGGGGAGGAGGGGGGCAGAAATAAATGGGGGTGGAGGAAGGAAGGGATGGGCAGGGAAGGGGGAGGGAAAAGGTAGGGGGAAGGGTGTAGGGACAGGGAAAAGGAAGGGGGAAGGGTGTAGGGACAGGGAAGGGAGTAGGGACAGGGAAATGAGGAGGGACAGAAAGAGAAAGAGGGAGGAGAAAGGAAAGGGGTACATGGAAATGGGGAGGGACAGGGGAAGGGAAAAGGAAAGGAGGAAGGGGGGAGGGAAAGAAAAGGGGGAGGGACAACACTCGTCGCCGTGTGTACGTGGCGGCGTTGTTGTCGTCGGCCGTTGGCGTCGTCGTCCGTTGGCGTTGTCGTCGTCCGTTGGCTTCGTCGTCGTCGTCTGTTGACGTGGCGGTGGTTGCTCGTCGTCCACTAACGTGCTCGTCGTCTGTTGACGTTGTCGTCGTCCGTTGACGTGGGCGTCCGTTGACGCGGTCGTCGCCCATTGACGTGGTGGTGGTGTCGTCGTGGGCGTGTCGTTTGTTGGCGTGGCCCTCCGTTGACGTGGTGAGGCGTGTCGTTGTCTGTGGGCGTGGTGGTCGTGGTCGTGCGTTGACGTGGTTGTCCCTTGTCGTGTGCCTGGTGTTAGCAGGCTGGGTGGGACGAGCTTGGGATGGGGGGTGCTCACCTATGACGACGAACGACGACTTGCGTCGTTCGTCGTCTGGTTACCACGTCGCTGATAGCGACGTGGCAACGTGTTGGCGCGCTCGTTTACTGAGGCTGGTGACGTGGCGTTGGGGCGTCGTTTCCGTGTCGTGGCCGTGGTGTTGTGTTGGGGTCGTGGTGAAACGACGACGGACGTCGTCGTTGTGTGCGTCATGGTGGCCGTTGGTGACGTGGCGGTGTCGCGAGGTGGGTTGGCGTCGTGGATGATGGTGGTGGTTGAGAGAGTGGGAGTTGTTTGTTGATGACGCCCAAATCAAGCGTCGGCAAACGCCGACACTCGATTTGGGCGTCAGGAATTCCGTTCTGTCTCATTCCGGGATCATTCCTTCCGGGTGATTCCTGGAACCATTCTGGCGGAATTTGAATTCCACCAAAATTCCGCCGGAATGGTTTGATCAATTTGGCAGGGCCCTCTGCCAAATTTGATTC